CTTTTGCCTAACAGAAGAATGCAGAGGAGGAAAGTGTCAGCCATGGAAGAAAAGGAAGAAAGGTGGGGTTTTTTTAAAGTCTATAATGTACATGTAAATATCAGCTGGATAAGATTTCCAGTCTGCTTTCTCCTCTCTCAGCTTGGAAGATGAGGCAGACTAACAGTATGATGAGCAATTACAAGACAAGCAATACATTGATACCTCTGCCTAGCAATTCTAGATAATTCTGGCTTTGTTCAGTGAATTTAAGTAAGCATTGACACTGTTACAGTCCCCACTGTACCAACCTTTCGCTCCTCTGTAGGGTCCTACCAGTTCTGCTTTTGTGTCTCTTGTCCCTTCCCACCCCCACACTCTCTGAGGAGCAGAGGCTGTACTAACCGCAGAGCTCCAGCAGTGGGTAAAAGCTAGAAGCAGCTTTTTTTACATTCCCCCAGTGCTCTGAAACTGCCATACACCCCGAGCTCCTGCCCCTCGGTGAGACCAGTGCAGCTGAGGAGACAGAGCCAGAAGGAGAGAAACTGAGCCTTCTTTCTCCAGTGAAGACCTAGTGATATAGGCCAGACTCAGACCGAGCTATGACCAGTATCAAAAGAGGAATCACAATGAAAGGCTCAACTAGTATCTCCCAGCACTATTTCACAGCATTCAGACATCCCACAGGTTTTCAGAAGCTGTTGAAGCGGACAAGACTGTAATATTCTTCAGGAAGGGATCAGCCTCAAAATAAACAGCTGGGGAGAGGGGAGAATCCCTGCCAACTCATAAACTGCATAAACAAAAAATTAAGAGCAACAGACTGAAATTTGTTCACTGAGAACTTGGCTATGTCAAACTCTGCCTGGTTAGCTGAATTACCTCATTGGAGGAGGACAGAAAGAAAAAGTGTGCACTATTACATGTTTTGAAGTGTCTTAAATTTTGCTACATGACAACATTTTATGAAATCACTAGCTGGTAACTTCCTGGGTTCAGTCACTTCGCAGGTGAAGGTACTTACTTGAGCAGTTATTTTTCTTCTCCATTACCATTCCATATGGTCCTTGACTGCTTGTATTAAGTATCTCTGCTTTTGTTTTTAACTGGACAACTGTTCTATGCAACAGCTTAAACTGCTACCAAATTAACTTGAACACGGTCGTTTATTGACACTAGCACCAGCTCAAATCTGCTGGTATTTAGCTTGGCGTAAGCACCCGGAGTTCAGTATCACTGATGCAGATGTTGAAAACCAGAAAGGAGCTCTGGAACTCAGAGATAATGCAGTAAGTTAAAGCACAAGGATTCTTTCTCAGTGAATACTGACTTCCTTCAGCAAAGGTACTCAAACTCTTGAGAAATCCTGAAATTAATTTGACTGGAAAAAAAAGGCCCAAGCACTCTTTACACTTGCCAACTTCTGTTTTAGGAAGTATTTATATAGTCTAATGGATAAACATTTGTAACAGACAGAACATGTATGCTGCAGGCAGTTACTGTTCCGTACCTAAGACAATACACTATTCCACAATACACTATTCACACATCACTGTGGGTATCCCCATCCCAATTTTGCCTCATTCATGTCTTTCTGTCCGTACTCCTCTCCCTGTCTTCCAAGGACCCATGCTAAGGGAACCTCCCTGTGGGAGCACAGCATTCTCTGGAAGGCCTTAGACACTCAACTTCACTCTTGAAACTGCCCCTAAGAAGGAAATGCCAGTCACGTTAGAGCATAGGTGGGAACGCCTTTCATTTCCTAAGCAGATATAGCACACCAGCTCTTGGAGACTCCCTCCCCATAAGGATGAAGAAACAAATACTAACCACTGAAACACTTTCCAGAGGGATGGATTCTGAATCCTCTGTATTTTCAGGATGTTGTAATTTTTCATAGTCTCATGAAACTGCTGCTTCACGGTGTTGTATTCAGAGGTTGTATTACTGATCTCCACTGCCTACAAAACATAAACCAAAGCAAAAGAAGACATGAGGCTTCAGTTGGCTTGTAACACGCAGAAGCCTAAGGACAGCAGATATCCTTTCAGAAGGGTCCCCAAACTATACTTACGGAGGTTACTTTAGTGCTTTAGGTTGTGGCTATGTGAACAAACAGGACAGACACTCAATATGTAAATAAGTACGTCAGCCCTGCTTGCAAGGACACCTCACCTCTCTTCAGGAAGGATGCTGAAAGCGAAGGGATCGATTAAATATTTATCTCCAAGTATGAGTTGGCACTTGTAACTTTGAATCTCAATGAAACAGAAATTTCTAAAAGAAAACCTGACTGATTATTCCACATAATATTAGGTTTTTTATATAAAGCTGATTAAGAACAAAAGATGTTAGATAAAAGTATCATTTGTAACCAGACATTTCAGGGAACTTCAGCTATTACAAATGAAACAAACAAAATACATACAACCTCCCAGCATCATGGCTTCTTAACTTTTCAGAGTTAAAACTTGGAAAGTCGCACTTAAATATAGACTTCAGAAAAAAAAGCTACATTTGTAAACATAAGGGAACAATTAAGATTCTAAGAGGAATGTTACACTAAATATCTGCTTAAGCAAACACCTCTCCTCCTTTCCTAAAGGAAACAAAGTCTATTTATCCATATGTTTGCGTTTAAAAATCCGTCAAGAAACGCATATTCTTCCCAAAGAAAAGTTAATGCAAAACGTAATTAAAACATGATTCGAGCTCTTCTGCTTATGTCATGCATAAATTTTCCATTTTTTCTCCAAAGTAATCTCTCTTTCTAATCTTCTAGAATAAACACTTATCTTCCATAAACTTGACTGAAAATGCATAATGCTGGCGGACTGATGTCACCTGGTAATACTCAAGATGTCTTAAAGTGAAATGCTCGACATGCCACGTATCAAAGTTGCGTTTTACGTAGGAAAGCTGCCGTCATCCTAGGAGGTAATATGAAATCAACACCTTAACCTGTCAGGCAAAAGCTCCACGTTTTAGAAGCCTGAGTTTAGAGAGGAGATAAAACATGACTTACATTTCACACTTGCATATAACAAAGAACTGTTTTTCTGGACACCACGTCCAGCTTGTGCATTAAATATTTACTGAAGAAGAGGCCTATCGTAGGAAAGTCTACTAAGTATTAAGAATAAAGTCAGCTGCACAAGGAAGAATTATTCCTTTGAATTTATTAAAAAGTTTTTACAAGGTTGACTGACATTTCCCATGTCTCAATCAAAAATATTTTGCAAAGCCTCTTTACGACACAACACATAAAACAATTTGTATGGGCGAGTATTTATTATCTGCATGCTCTGTGACACCACAGCTCAAGTGGCTCATCATCACCTACAAGATGAAAATTGTGTCACTATATTTCAGTACTATATCTTTTATTTATACATAAACAATTCTTATTCAGACTACAAATACGCTTTTGCTGTATTCAATCTTTTATCGAGGACCTGTAACCTTTATGGGTAAAACAGAGGGTCAACTGCATGGTACAAGGCCAAATCCTGTCGGAAAGGTACTTCAATATTTTATTATATGATGGCATCCAAGCAACAAATCCAGCTGTCTTTTGCATAAAAACTTTGTGGGATTGTTCTTATTTCCCCAGGGGCGCTTCCCTTGCTCATAAAGGGTGACATCACATTGCTGTTGCGGGTTGACACTTCATAGAAACATAACTTCTTTAGCTCTTCTCATCTTCAGACCTAAAAAGGAAAGTCCTAGAGAATCATAGAATCATAGAATGGTTTGGGTTGGAAGGGACCTCAAAGATCATCTAGTTCCAACCCCCCTGCCATGGGCAGGGAAACCCTCCACTACATCAGGTTGCTCAAAGCCTCATCCAACCTGGCCTTGAACACTTCCAGGGATGGGGCATCTACATTTGCTAACCCACCATCAAGGAGTGGAGTCTCTGAGGCTGAGAAAGAATCACTGCCCTGACAATCATTTCTATTAGCATTATGACTGCACGAGAACAGTACTTTGTGATATCAAACCATGATCTCTGGTTAACTTACGTTTTGGAAGCAGTGTAGTTTGTGTTAGTGACAATGACCCAACCAGAACTTACGTCTACAAAGTACACAGACAGACTCTTCCCATTGCATCAGCTCCCATTCCTGTTACAGCACAGCAATCTTTGGCACGCGTGTCAGGATTCAGCAACACAGCAGCCACACAAAGACTAATCCTCTGACATAAAAACACACATTCGTTGCACACATTTTTCAGTTGTACATGAGAGATACAATTTAAAACCCAGCATGAAGTTCCAAGACAATGTAATGTCTATTTTTTTTCCCCTTTAAAAGGTTTACCAGCTACTAATTCCACTTTGTCTGTCAAACAAAGACAGAGAAATTCACACCAACTTTCCAATGGTGTTACCAATTTCCGCTGTGCACTTCATACACTCTACATTCTATAGATTGCTATAGAACTATGCTAAATGACTTACAGATTAAGATGCTGCAATGCTCAAAAAATAAGCAATGTTACTAGAACAGAGCTGCTCTTTCTAAGCAAAGATGACTTTCTCCCTATCTCATATAGGTGTTCCTTTTTAAAACGGATCACTTCCAGCGCAGCAAATTTTGCCAGGGTTATTTGTCAATGTCTGAAGAGAAGGGAATTCATCAAGTTGTGATTGTCAGATGTTACGACAGTCACTACATGCACGCAGAATCCCAGCCAGTCCCAATATTACCTACTGCAAGCAAACACACCCAGGGTCCCACAGAAATATTTAATCTAGCCCAGGCTTTCACTTTTAGCGCCAGCAGGTGCAGGTACTGTGAACTTTGTCACTTTTTAGGTACAGAATTAACAACTTTTTTCCTGTGAAAGGCAGGCAGTTTGCACGTTAAGAGATGGTTTTCTTAGGTGCCAACGCGGCAAATAAACTGAGCTCCGGGAAACAAGATGATCTTCTCCCAACAAGTACCACTGGCGATACCATGGATCTGCACATCACATTCCAAAGCCTCTCATGCTCGCCTCAGTGACTCCAGAAACACTCCAACAAAGGGACTCAACTAAAACTCAGACTGAAATTTTCAGAGTAAATAAGGGAAGCAGTTAAGTACATACAACTCGGAGACCTAAAAGAAACTGAGCTACGTGTCTTCCTGGCATTCTTTTGAAAAACTCAAGCTTCTGCTAATCAGTTAAGCTGCTGATAAGCCAAAGGAAGAGCTGATTATCTATATCCTTCATTATTTTGACAGAGCTCGAAATATCACAGGCCCAAATCTTCAAAAGGTCTGACTACCAGATTCCCACACAAACTCATTACTAGTTCATTCAGCAGGTGCTGGACACCTGACACTTTCACAATTTTGAAAAATTAGGCATTTTTGCTAATTGTGAGAAACAGCTGTTTGAAGGGAGCTAACGTACAGACCAGTTGACTTAAATTTTACCCATTGATTTTTCATCAGAACTGTATTTAGATGAATTTGCTACATACGCACATGGCCAGATATGGATTTTACATTGAGGAAGGCATAATCCAACACCAGAGGGTAGTCAGGGTAAAATGAAACATCCAGCACAAAGCAGAATAAGAAACCAGCCCATGGAAGCTAAGAGACATGATATTTCTGGTTCTCATGCCACTGCCAGTGTAACTACACTAGAGAAAATAAAATACAAAGAGTGAGAATACCAATGGAGCTCTCTGTCAACTGAAAGTAGCCAGAAAGAATTCTGAAAATACGGTATTACTTCTGTCCTGTCCCTAGCCATCAAGGCATCTGTGCCAATACAGTGTGGCCAGCATCATACAAGATTTTATGCTCCACATTATGCTCCACTACAAGAAAGGACAAGTGTAGAAGTACTAGAAAAAAGGCTTTTCAATGTCATAAAAGGCCACCAAGTTGGTCAGGCACGATCTGCCTTTGGTGAAGCCATGTTGGCTGTCACCCACCACCTCCTTGCTCTCCATGTGCCTTAGCATGGTTCCCAGGAGAATCTGCTCCATGACCTTGCCAGGCACAGAGGTGAGGCTGACCGGCCAATGCTACAGTCTGTGTTGTTCTTCCAGAAGGACTACTTCTTAATACCATTAGAACTAGTGATTTAAAAAATACCTGCACAGTTTCGGCCTTGGTAGATGAAATAAGAACACAGACTTTGGGCAGGCAGGGTATCTCTTCTCTTCTGTTGAAGAGATGACTGCAAATGTTTTTAGATATTATCAGCTGTAACTATTTCTGCCATTCCTTGAGGCTGTGCTCTGTGCTCAGATCTGTGATGTATGTGACAATGCTGGGTGAATTGAAAAAGCATATAGAGATTTCCTTTCTGAGGTCTCCAATCCAGACTTTAGTCATCAACAACCAATATGCTATTATTATTGGATGGCTTTTTAATGCAGCCTCACCTCCATCCGTGGAAAGATAATGGAACAACTTATCCTTGGTGCTGTCTCTAGGCATATCAAGGATAAGAGGGTCATTAGGGGCAGTCAACATGGCTTCACTAAGGGGAAGTCGTGCTTGACAAACCTGATAGCCTTTTATGAGGACATCACCCAGTGGGTGGATGATGGTAGAGCAGTGGATGTGGTCTATCTTGACTTCAGTAAAGCATTTGACACAGTCTCCCATGGCATCCTCACAGCTAAACTGAGGAAGTGTGGTCTGGATGATCGGATACTGAGGTGGATTGTGAACTGGCTGAAGGATAGAAGCCAGAGAGTAGTGGTCAATGGGACAGAGTCCAGTTGGAGCCCTGTATCCAGTGAAGTCCCTCAAGGGTCGGTACTGGGACCTGTATTGTTCAACATATTCATCGATGACTTGGATGAGCGAATAGAGTGCACGGTCAGCAAGTTTGCTGATGACACTAAACTGGGAGGAGTGGCTGACACACCTGAAGGCTGTGCTGCCATTCAGAGACCTAGACAGGCTGGAGAGCTGGGCGGGGAGAAATTTAATGAAATACAACAAGGACAAGTGTAGAGTCTTGCATTTGGGTAAGAACAACCCCATGTACCAGTACAAGTTGGGGACTGAACTGTTGGGGAACAGCACAGAGGAAAGGGACCTGGGGGTCCTGGTGGACAGCAGGCTGACCATGAGCCAGCAATGTGCCCTTGTGGCCAAGAAGGCCAATGGCATCCTGGGGTGTATTAGAAGGGGTGTGGTTAGTAGGTCGAGAGAGGTTCTCCTCCCCCTCTACTCTGCCCTGGTGAGGCCGCATCTGGAATATTGTGTCCAGTTCTGGGCCCCTCAGTTCAAGAAGGACAAGGAACTGCTTGAGAGAGTCCAGCACAGGGCCACAAAGATGATTAAGGGAGTGGAGCATCTCCCTTATGAGGAAAGGCTGAGGGAGCTGGGTCTCTTTAGCTTGGAGAAGAGGAGACTAAGGGGGGGACCTCATTAATGTTCATAAATATGTAAACGGTGACTGTCATGAGGATGGAACCAGGCTCTTCTCAGTGGCATCCAATGATAGGACAAAGGGAAATGGATCTAAGCTGGAACATAGGAGGTTCCGCTTGAACATAAGGAAGAACTTCTTCCCAGTAAGGGTAACAGAACACTGGAACAGGCTGCCCAGGAGAGGTTGTGGACTCTCCTTCTCTGGAGATGTTCAAAACCCGCCTGAACGCATTCTTGTGTGATCTGATCTAGGTGGTCCTGCTCAGGCAGGGGGATTGGACTAGATCATCCTTTGAGGTCCCTTCCAATCCCTAACATTCTGTGATTCTGTGATGGGTTTGGTCTCGGCCCAGCTTCTAGTGAAAAAATACACACTTCAAAGAAGCCCCTTGCCTAACTAGTCCACCAAGTCACCAAGGTAAGTCATTAGTATGTTTTTAAAAGTGAACATTTTTGTCTTGAATTTGGTGAGTTTTGGTTTTGTGTGTAGATAGATGCCTAAAATGCAGATGAAGTTCATGAGAATTTGGCAGCTTTTTCAGGAGCTCTTGGGAGATCACCTAGATCTTTAGCACACCCACCCAAAAAATCACTCCTGTCCCTTTTTAGCAGTTACAATTGCTTCAGTTAAGCAGCATCCTCCTTTGAATCGTGCCTTTCCATCAGAATTACAAGAGGGGAAGAAAAAAAGAAAAAAGAGATACCTTATATCCCGAGTCAGGCAGTGCAGACTGATCCCAGTGGCCAGGACAGGCTTGATTTGGAATAGACGAATTCCTCTGGCTGTTTGCAAACAGACAGAAAACCAGGTGTTAGTAATTCTAGCCCTGCTCTGAACATTAAAACTGGCAGCATCCCCTTTGGCCAATTCCTACATTTAAAAATGACATAAATAAGCCACAAAGAAACTGGGAACAGCCTCAGTGTGTGAGCAGGGCTTTGCATACTGCTATTCGATTGTCGCAGTCCTCTTTCTCTTGCTTCTTTAAGAAACAACTGTCCGTTACCAGTCCTGTGGATGCAGTACCTGGAGTAACATGTACTCCAGAAACCAGGTGATTCACCAAGCCAGCAGTCTGTGATACAGCTTCTGCTCAGTCAAATGGATAGGTTTTCTTCTAGCAACAGCTGTGTTCTTTGCACAATTACTGCCAGCACTGGCAGTCATTTTGCCTTACAATTACTTCTGAAATATGAAAAAACAACAACTTAAAGAGCATCATTTACCCTTTCTTTATCTTCTGCACATCTTCAGAAGACACAAACTTCGGTCGTCTGCAGACTCGTCTTCGAGTTTTGAAAGAGATATTTGTCTGGGACATTTCTTGAGGAGAAAAGAGATGGAAAAGGAAAAAGTCATGAATAAGTCCACAAGATGAGGTTATTAATGAATGACAGTCATTCATTAATGAAAAGTGGCATATTCGTTGTCAATTCTATCTGCTGAAGAATAGTTGCACTTCGCCTATGTAAGCTTCTTGTCCTTCCCATAGCAGTTATTTAACCTTTGCCCATCTCACTTGCTTCCTTAAGTCACTCATGCTCATTAAACGTTGCTCCAACAGCACAGAAGGGTGCTTGGTTTTTCATTTTTACCATCCACAAGGTTAACTCACTTGAGTTTTTATGTGAAGACTACCTATCTTTTTATTTCTGGTCCTATGTGAGTACGGATAGTGTCAAGGAGTAAGGGGAAAGGTTACTTTTGTAAGGAATTTTCTCTGGCCCTTCACTATCTCACTTTCCTTCTAATGAGTAAATCTGGTAATGCTTGTAAAAGAAATTACAGCTTCTAAAAGCTGGGATAGCTTGCAAGTTAATCTTTGTAAAGTACTGCATAGTTGTAAATGAAAATCTTTAAAATAAGTACCTTTAAAATTGAGCTGGTAATGATGCAAGCCAGCCTGGAAAGATACGGTGGCATCTGGATCTGCTAGATACCAATTCTCAATATCAGCAGAGGATGGTGACTTCACACTGTTCCCTTCTCCCTTTGTAGGGGAAGAGAGAAAAAAAGAGAGAGAGGAAAATAACAAGTAAACACAGTCAGGACTAAACCCTGGATAACTAGTTTGGGTAGAGGGAAAGAAGAGGCAAAGAGTAGGATGAAGAGGAATCTACCCAGAACTATCGTGGCCTAAAGTGTGATTGCCAAACATTCATAACGTACACATAGATACATAATTAGGAATGACAGACGTGCATGTATCCCATTTAAATTTCTGTAACAAGCTGTGCTGGTTTCAGCTGGGATAGAATTAATTTTCTTCATAGTAGCTAGTATGGGGCTGTGTTCTGGATTTGTGCTGAAAACAGCAGGGATGTTTTCATTATCGCTGAGCAGTGCTTACACAGAGCCAAGGCCTTCTCTGCTCCTCACCCCACCCCACCAGCGAGGAGGCTGGGGGTGCACAAGAAGCTGGGAGGAGACACAGCCGGGACAGGTGACCCCAACTGACCAAAGGGATATCCCATACCCTGTGACATCATGCTCAGTAAATAAGGCTGGGAGAAAAAGAAGGAAGAGGGGATGTTCGGAGTAATGACATTTGTCTTCCCAAGTAACCATTACACATGACAGAGCCCTGCTTTCCTGGAGATGGCTGAACATCTGCCTGCCCATGGGGTAGTGAAGGAATTCCTTGTTTTGCTTTGCTTGCTTGTGCGGCTTTTGTTTTACCTATTAAACTGTCTTTCTCTCAACCCACGAGTTTTCTCACTTTGACCCTTCTGATTCTCTCCCCCATCCCACCACAGGGGAGCGAGTGAGTGGCTGCGTGGGGCTGAGTTTCCGTCCGGGTGTGAGAGATGCACTTGACTCCTTGACCACTTCGGTGGTAGTTTGGTTCAGGCTCCAAAGGAAGTAAAGGACTAGGCCATGTCCAGGCCATGAACTTCTCTAGTTCCAACCTGTTCTCTGAAAACTCACACAGGAACAGGGTGACATGGTGAGCACTGATGCGTATGAGCTTGGAAACTGGAACACCGATCCAATCATGCAATTAACACATGAATTGCTGGTGGTTCTTCCAAGACTAATTTGTCAAGGAACAATGAAAGTTGTGGGTACTAGGAGTATTATGCTTACCTTTTCCATCGCATGTAATGTGACCACAAGCCAACCACTTTATGGAACAAATCTGACAGCCTGAGTGCGCTTTTTATGAGCTCTCCCTGCTAAGCAGCAGCCGGCACAGCGGTGATCTCCCCTTGAGCTGGGATGCCTCTCGAGGTTACTCCTGAAGGCTGAGAGGCCCCTTACCAACTGCAGATCTTTGGTAAGTGACTGATATGGTGCATAACCTTATATTATAGTGTACTAAGATTTTGCATTGGTAACTCTGAATTACTATGGCATCCTCTGTGCAGTAGGCAATAGAGTGAACCTTGCCATCACGTTAAGTCTCACTTTTACAACATCCTACTGCACTAAAACTGCTACCTTTGGTAGTGGTTCTTTAAACGGTCTAAAATCTCCCCCACGACAAACTGGCATAGTCGGCAGATTCTAAATCTGCTCTGTGGCACCGGGGTTAAATCACGATGCAAGTATAATTCTCTAATGTACAAAACAATGTAAAGCATGAGGGTATGCTGACGAGACGCCTTCCGTTTAAGCTGCCTACTGAAATCAAGGCCCACCATTGCCAGAGCCACTATATCCATCATCTCTCCCTACGTACTTTTCCACGTCCCTGGATCACCTTTGTGTTCTGCCATTTGGGCAGCTATACTGTAAACAGGATGGGGAAAACTCATCTGCCTTGGGGGAAGGAGAGACTCCTTATTTATTTATTTTCCTGCGTTTTTCAGATAGATCACTCTCTCATCAAAAAGGACTTGGTGACCCAAGGGAAATAGCAACACTTGATCTGAGAGAGCGGAAGAATCCTTGCATGTCCCAAGGAAGGACAATGCTTAGAAGAGAGGCAAGACGACTTCCTGAATAATTTAAAAGGCAATCTATGTCAAGTATAGTGTATACACGTTAAATCTGCGTAGAAGCCACGGACAACTCCAAAAGGCAATCTGATGAGAGAAGTCCACATGTATCATCAAAAACAGCCTGATCAACACAAGCTGAAAAAAAGAAATTTTGCTTTCCCGCATTTGTCAAGAAGGTCTTTGTCAAAAGCAGTTTTAACCATCCTGACACAAAGAAAGACAGTAGTTCATACTGAACCTCACTGCAAGGAGATAAGGCGTGCTCCCTCCCCTCCAGCCTGTCATCATTTTATCACATCTGTTATGAACATCTGCAGCTTCACTGCCTTACTTGACATCATAAAATTCCAGCACAAGTATTTACTTAATTAACCTTGCTGAGTAAAGAGGAGTAGGGGGGAAAGATGCTCCGCACGTTTCTTCAGTAGTGATTCAAAGCACAGGATGTGCGCTCACCTGTTCTCCATATTCAATCCACTGGCCTTGGTCATTCTTCCAATACCAAATCCACTGCGTGGTCAATGCAAATGTGGGTTTTGTAACTGATGACGGTGTAGAGAGGCGTCGAAGTGAAGAAGAGCAGCAGGTCATTGTCTGGAAATCAATGTTCTTATCTGCTATGCTGCAAGGACAAATTCAGGTTTATTACAGCTAACAGTACATATGTTATCCTCTAAGCCCCACTTTAAGTCAGTGCAATTTTCTTTCATACAATGTGACTGCCTGAACTTGATTAGGCTTGAAATAAGTGTATTTCCCACAGCATGCATGGCAACTCTGAAAACTGTTTCCAATCTTCAGAAGTGAAGTATGGCCTGTGAGACACTGAATGCCATCTCAATTGCTAGCCAGATGTTGCACTGCCAGCTTTACAGACAGTCTGGGGCTACATGGACAATGTGGCAAAAGGTCTATTTCTCCATAAATAAGCATGGTTACAGTTTTTCCTCAGTACAAAATTAGAAGTTGGTAAGCACGTGACTGAGTTTGCCAGCAAACTCCTGCAAGCTTATCAACTTTGTTCTTTTTCTGTGGTTAGAGAAAATGCAATCACAGATGTGAGTTCTGTAAATAGCACTCATCACTGCAGCCTCCTGGGCTCTTACTCCTGAGAGGCTTGAAGAATTAACTCTCAGGCAGAAAGACTTTGAAAGCAGCCTCCTCTTGGGAAGCTTGCTTGTGATTTGCACCATCCAGCAGCCTAGTCAAGCTGCAAATGAAAATAATCTGCTGCCTGAAGAGGCATGAGCCAAAATGACTATATCGTTTTATTGAGGCCAAACCTGAGGTCTCAAACAAATCCAGGTGGCTTACAGTGGGGCTTTCAGAAAGAAGCTAATTGGAAAATGCACTCTCTTAAAAAAAAAAAAAAAGGCATGTCATAAAATTATATATTATATTATATTATAATAAGGATATATGGAAAGGAATAGCCATAAAGAAGGACCAGCTCTGAACTGTTGTTAAAAGGCCTAACTTTATTATAAATTTATGATTCATTATCTGAAATACTAATACTCTAAGCACTAAGTTCCACCCACTTCTTTTTACCCTGTATAGAGTTTTGAATGCAAGATATTGTTGTGCTAATAGAAGAAAAAAATGGGGTGATATTTCCATGCTATCACTTCTAGTTTTCTTTTTAAAATCCTCCCAGATTCTGAGAAGCTCAGTAATCATAAGTTATGGAAGTCAGACATCTTCAGGAAGGACACAAGAGATTTTCCTCAGGGGCTCGACCACAGTACTCCAAGCAGGCAATCCAGCATCACTATACCTGCTCTTTTTTGGGTCACAATAGGCCTTTTCAATTTCCTCCATGGTGGAAAGGTCATTCCAGGTGATCCCATTATATACCTGCCATCGATATGGCAAATGGTAATGAACAAATCTGCATTTATCTGTAATGAGATCAGACATAGTCAAGAGCTCTACAATCATAACACAGAGAGCAACATAAGCATTTTTCACACTCTGACTGTATCTCCTGCGCTTTGGTCTGGGCAATAAAGACAGAGTGCTCCAAAATAGAAATATTTTTGAACAATAGGAGTGTGTGTTTCTCCAGTCTTACCTAGAAAAGCAACATAACTTTCATGCTGCCAAATATATTTCAAAGAAACCACAACCTTCTTGTTAAGAAATACTAGTCACTTAGCTTAAATCAGTAAGTCTTAAATAGAATTAATCTCTCAGAGTCAATCATATAGCATTAGGATGCCAGGGATACAGCATATACTGTGTGTTTGGCATCACTAACTTAGCATGAGTAGCGAGATTTGCTGAAGCCTTAGGCTGCAAGCTGTGAACTTTCTACTAGATACGCTTTTGGATGGGATAGAGTTAATTTTCTTCTTAGTAGCAGGTACAGTGCTGTGTTTTGGATTTAGTATGAGAATAATGCTGATAACACACTGATGTTTGGGCTGTTGCTAAGCAGTGTTTATCCTAAGTCTAGGACTTCTTCGGCTTCTCATGTTCTACTAGCAAGGAGGTGCACAAGAAGCACAGACCAGAAGATAAGGAGGCTATAACCATCAGCAGAAGCTGCAACTTGGCAAGATAAGAACAGTTGATGGCCTGCCTGCCTGGAGACAGAGAAAGAATCCAACAAGGTGTTAGAAGATCCCAGACCAGAAATCACCATTCGACCAACAAGGCACGTGAAGGGCACATGAGGGGCGGGTGCATAGATTGTAAGGGTGTAATTGTCCGGGAATTTCTCGGATGGTCTGTGCGACTCCTTCAATGGCGTGTGAATGCTCAGGCAGCGGCTCCTCCTTTAACGCTTCCCTTTGCTGAGACATGGCTTTGGCAGCTGCGAGAGCAGTGCCACAGAGAGGAAGTGTGTGTTTATGTATCACACCGCCATGTTTCTCAGCTGTAAAAAGGCCAGTCTACAATCACGTAAGCACTCCAATATATTTGGT